ACCGTTTGGAGGTCATAGTCAAGGCAGTAGGTGGCGACATGGAGCGAGAGTGAATAGTTTCTAAAATTTGCACAAATTGTTGTAATTTGAATCAATAAAAAATAATTTCACAGAAAAAAGATATGATTGCTTGAATAGACTTCAGTCACTTAACTTTATATATTTAGGTGCTTTATAGGGGTCATGTCTTCTGTGCAATTCGGAAGAAAATTTATGATGTATACGTACTAATAAAATTTCAAAACAGAATATTGTTAGCACTTTAAAATCTATACAAGTGAGGGCTTGATATCTTGATATTTCACGGTAAGTTATATATGATTCATATTAATTCATTATTTTCCGGCAAGGAAAAATACTATATACTTTTTTTTTTGAAGAAACTAGCAATACTTACTGGATTATGAAACTAAGTTTGTTATATATCCATTTAGTGATAAAACTTTAAATAAAATAAATTCCCTAGACGGCTACCATCATCATTATACAACTGATGGTATTTACCACTAGCTGATACCAATTTATTGGAGTGTTTCTCCCTTCTGCTATTAATGGTTCCCCTATAACGCGGAACCAATCTACCGCGTTATGGCAGGGAAAACGCGTTATAGAGGTATTCCCGTATACCCCGTATACACACGTGAAGCTTATTATGAACTGTTATATGTGTTCCCGTTATAGGCGGGAATGCGGGATTGAAATCGTGTATTTAGAAAATGCGTTATAAGGTTACTGCGTTTTAGGGAAGATTATTGTATATGGAAATCGGCACTAAAGACTATTAATCATTAAAATATGGACTTATTACTAATTTCTCTATAGCTCAATTAGGAAAATTTCTGCTTAATAAATAGTCATTTAGTTCTAACTCTTAGATTTATTAAAGAGATATGATTTGATATTCAAATCCTTGTCAAGACAGTTCCAAATGGTGCCATTATCACAAAGAAACTACTTACCATAAAGGGACTGAACACTGGGATTTATTAATTATTTAAATAACTGTTTAATTACCTTGGCATTGCTAAACATTTTAAAGAAATACGATTGATGTTTACACTATAAATATAATTATATTTATTTGTTTACAATTAAATTTAGACTCCTGATCATTTTCCATAAGGAATCGCTTTAGAGTCCTCATTTGTTTCCAGTGAAGTTAGTTTGCAAAATCATTATTGCTCAAAAGTTTGGGAGATATTTTTATTGAAATGTTTTAAAATTTAATTAGAAATTTTTGGGTATCAGAAAAAAATCTCTTCTCAGAAATTAAAACAATTGCAGAAGATAATTTAATTTAAATAAAAGCAAAGTAGAATCGTTGATTTAAATTCTTAAATCCCTTTCACTTGGAAAATTGCAACAGGCAGGTGACTTTAACTGCAAGAGAACAAAAGATAACTTTTTGAAACTTATTCTTCGGCTTGAGTAAAATATTCAAATATTGTTAAACTATAAAAAATGGCATTCTTCCGGTCAATATTCCGCATTATCCAACTTATCGAACAGCAGACAGACAAAAAACAAAATGGTGAGCAAGGGCAAAAGTTTTATGTGAAAATTCTGTGAGGCATTGAACGTTGAAAGCGGGAAAATGTATAGCATAAAATATGAAATTCCTTCCAACTCCGGACGATATAACTCTTTACCTTGAAGGCAGAACAACAACCGTCGGTCGGTATTTCAGTACAATTTTTTCCATGCGACAAAATAGCAGAGAAATATTTTTTATCGCATTTTTTTCATATACGAACGAGTATCTAATATTTTACGTGTTTGTGCGGAGAAAAGTTTGTTCTTAAATTTTTATTGTCCTGTAAAATTTCTTTTTCAGTTATTTTCGAGTGATTGAAAGTGCTCCAGGTTAGATTTAATATGCACTCATCTATCTACTATATCTACTATAGTTATTTGCTTAAGCAGCTTCAAAACTGGAAATTGGTCAATTTCACCAATAAACCCATAGTTGGAAGAATTTAATAACTGAGCAGGGTAAATTACTTTAATTAGAAATCAATAAACTAATCACAAATGTAATTTTATGATGTGATTGAATTTACTAAATAAATCTTGTTCTAATTTTAGAAAATGTAGGTACAGCAGTTGAATTAAAAAGAGACCTCAATCATCCATAACAGAATTGACAAGAGTCAACTATTAAGTGATAAAAATTGTATGAATACTTTGACATAGTGCTAAACTAAAGAGAAATGGAACCTAGAGGAACACACTAAAGCGATTTTGTAAAGATTAATACTGATATACCAATCCAAAAGATAATGTAGGTACAGCAGTTGAATTAAAAAGAGACCTCAATCATGGAGACCTCAATCATCCATAACAGAATTAACAAGAGTCAACTATTAAGTGATAAAAATTGTATGAATACTTTGACATAGTGCTAACCTAAAGAGAAATGGAACCTAGAGAAACACACTAAAGCGATTTTGTAAAAATTGATACTGATATACCAATCCAAAAGATAATGAAGGTGTGCGATTGAAACAAACAAAGGCAAATAAATTTGTGTAGACAATACTGCACTTAACATATCTGTAAAGAACTGGGGAAAGAATAAAGAGAGAAAAATCTTAATACAAGATGCAGTGTGAATTGACCACCTAAATTTGATAATAGTTCGAACCAGAAAATCAAAAGGAAAAGAACATCTACTTCATTTGGTGCTTTATCACGAGATTAGATTAGACTATTTAACTTTAATTATTTATTATAATTTGTAACAAAATATATCTGATAACTTATTATTATTAGCATATAATAATTCTAAAATAATTTATAGAAATATTTCTCATGAAAAATATATAATGTTGTAATCTGGTCTACTTGTATCTAGACCAGAGATATACCCTTATACTTCTACTTATATGGTATAAACAAAAATATCATTAGATCAAATTTCCGAAATTTGTAAATTATTTTTGTTCTAAAATTAAAAATTAAATTAAAAAATTTTTATTTAAGAAAAAATCACAATTGTTTCTGGGAAAAAATTAAAATTTATTTATCTACCTTATATATTTTCTTCTATATATTTTTATGGAATAGACAAGGTTCAATAGAAGAATTGGACACTTTAGTGTGAAGCTTGTGCCAACAAAAGAAGAGTTAACATAAAATTGCTAACCGTGCGACAAACTGTCCAATGCGTTCCAAGTAAATGAAGCACGAACTTTGGTTTGCCAAACGCAGACGCAAATGCAGACACCATGTCCGTGTGTAAATTTGATATGCCAAACGAGCGAATGAGCGGATCAAGCAACAGATGAGTTTGGCCAAACGCCAAACGCCAAACGTCAAGAAGTGTACATAATTATGTGTTCCAGTTGGCAGATTGCTGACTCGTGCCTCTTGGCTGCTGCCTGTTGCTTGTTACTTGCTGCTGCCCTTCTGTCTGATGCTGGATGTCTCTTATATTTGTTGGAAGTTGCCGGTTGCCAGTTGCTGGTTGCCAGTTGCCTGTTGCAGACATATTTGCCCCTTTTAATTCAATTTGGCAGCTGCTGTTGGTAGCTCCGATGGTATGGTGACGAAGTCAACTAATTAGAGGCAGCAAAGCGTGTAGTTTATTTTTTGTTTTATTTCCTTTCCAAGTTTCACTAATACTTTGTTAGTATCTTTATTACAAACGATATCAGTGCTTGGATTTTCCTTATTTGCGGACTAGATATACACTTCAAATAAAATAATAAAAATATAAATAATATTCTTACATAAATATGTTTCAAATATTCATAGGAAATGCAGACACCATTGATGATGTCCAAGTCATTGGGTTGACATTACTTATTATTATTATTAGGTCTAGAATGAGCTGTAAAAATTAGCTGTCTAATAAGTATAGTCGTGAGCTTTAATTCTGTAAATGTAGTTTATATACGTGTTAATAAATAAATAAAAGTCATAGTTTAGGGTTTATTGGTTCAAAATTTATATAGAAACATAACAAAGCCATCTAAATACTAAAACTTTTTCAAATCATGACATTCAAAAAGAATATTCCTTGATCTAATAATTTCTATTTTACAAGAAAGCTTTACTGAGATGAACAATTATTTCCTTAACCGTTGGCGTACTTGGATTGTTTTTTTGTAAATCCATAATAGAGCTCGAAATCAGTTAGGGCATGTTTGCTGCTCTCATGAGTAATAATTAGTAATAGAAGAGTTGTATATGGAGCTGGAACAGGATGTACTTTTTATCTTCCTATATCTTTTAATGTACTGTTTTTCTCTTCATTTAGCTGGAGTGTCTTCTATTTCAACAGTTGTAAATTTTATTACAACTAAAATCAATACACTACCATCAAGGATTACTTTTGATTGAATATCATCATTCGTATGATACATAATAATTAGCACATTATTACTCTTATTATTTTATGGGTAATTAATCCAAACTCAACTTACATATTTTTTATTTTCTCTGATTTATCCTAATACTACGACATTAAATTTTCCTTAAGTATTCTCAAGGTTAAGGCAGTCATCTATCATTTTCGAAGTAATCGTTATAGACTTGTCGTGCTTAGCTAAGTAGACTAAGGACTTAGCTAAGTATATAGACGGATGTATATAGAACTACAAATATGCAAACATATGGTTTTATTGCAGGTTTTATGTAATGAATGTAAAAATAATTTACTACACATAATAAAAAAAAATTACAATTTTGTCTTAAGTCCCTAAAAGAATCCCTTAACATTTTGTTCCCAAAGAAAAAAAAAACTCTGAAGCAATCCTGTATCACTTTATACACATATTAACATCTATTCAGTATTTAAGTACTATTTTAGTTAAGTTCATTCATTAATTAAGTTCAATGTGTATGACGGTATAAATCAGTTCACAGATGTGTGTATAAAAGACTGCACTCATGGTATAAAAATATGGAGATCGGTTATTACTCCTTTTTCCCATAGAATGAAAACAATTAAGTACAAATTTGTTTGTAATCAACGGATACAAGTATAATATATGATTGATTGGTGGAAGGAAGCACATACAATATTTAAAAGCAATTACAATGAAAGCATATACCTATATACATGTAAATATACATGTATATATACATGTATGAAAATTTATAGTACAAGTCTATAATGAAAGTGAGTAGTACATATATGGTATATCGAAATCTTCATATTATGCATATGATTTCTTTTGTATTCCCTAGAAATAACCCTAAAAGAATTACCCTAATTAAAACTCTCAAGTGGATCAAAGTAAATCTGTTGAAATCAAATAAGCATATCACTTGAGATATGTGTAAGAAAATATTAATATATCTGATTTGATGAAAAATTATATTATAACTTATGAATTTCAGATACCTGATGATTTTACAGGATTTATTTAATCGATCTTTTATGGGATCATTACTTAATTTGTGTTAATTAACTAATTAATATTAGTTTCATTTGATCATGATAAAAACTTTCTGAAAAATAAATTTAAAATAGATATACGTATATTTGTCAATTGTTTTACTTTGATTTTTATAATATGGTGGTTATCCCGTATAGATTTGCATTTTTAGGTCCTGATATTGCTAATTTGAGAAGACACTTGTTTTGGATTCTGCGACACCAAAAATTGTATGCTTTTCTGATACCATGATATTTACTATATTATAGTTGTCTACTGTTTTTATAAATATTTGATTAGAAAAAAAATTTCTTGGCTTTAAAATTCAATCCATCCGATGAAGAATAATGTAGGAGATGCAATTTCAAACTCACCAGTGATGAAATAATGAGTATACTAGTATTAATTCAGTTACGATTAACTCTAACCACAACAAAGCAATATTATTGTCTATTAACAAACTAGTCAATTTACCAGTTCCAGAACTCTAAAATCGAACACGTATAAAGTAGGTTACGAAGAACCTAGTATTATAGACTGTCAAACTAGTAAAAAATTTACATTGATTTTAATGTAATAGCAATACTACACGATTAAGTGATTACGAGTATGAAGTTTAAAATAAAGCTTTATAATCTTTACATATATTGCGTGAAAAGGGCACATTAACTACTGACGACATTGATGTGGAATGTAGAACAATATGAAGTCAAGAACTCTCTAGATATCTGAAGAAAAACTAAAATCAGATTGAGGTTTTAAAATATGTTAATCACAACAAGAAGAAGGTTTATTTAAGGATAAATAATAAATCATTTAGATCGAAAAGAATAATTATATAGTAATCAAAGTAGACATAAATTTAAAGAAACTGACTAGTAAAATTAAAAAATAAAAATTTTTGTTTTTTCTAAAAATTCTAGCGTTAACTTCAAAATTTCTTGTTGTATCAATCTTGGTCGTATTGGACACTAGGACACTTGGACATTAAAATGTAGCATCCAAATAATTATAACAATTAAGTTTGTTATATATATTATATTTCTGTTGATTTGAACACATCTCACATCATCACAAATTTTAAAAATAAGGTGAGTAGGAAATTATTTCAGAGTTGCGTGGTTAGTTGCGTACTCAATACGAGTACAACGGTTTAAATATATATATCAGATTTTTTATTATCAAAATCTATATCCACTTCTTTTTAAACTTTTTTCAAGGAGGCACCATTCTATCCATCCGTGCCAAAAGAATAGGAAAACTATACCTCAATTTTAAACCATACATAAACTTTCATATAAACTAAGTTAAGAAAGAGGTGAGTGAGATTATTAGATTATCTTACACAAATTAATTCCAAAGATTTCATTAAATTATAATAGCATTTCGATTTAAGATTCTTTCTCTATAAAATTTCTTTACACTGGATAAAAATTTCCACATATTATTAAAATGGAGTGAAGTTAAGGATACGTGTTGTTTCATCATTTATTATAATATTAGAAAGATTAACTAAAACGAAAACTATTAGAACTATTATGCTTTTAACCTTATCAAAATCTTATATCCACTTCTTTTTAAACTTTTTTCAAGGAGGCACCATCCAATCCATCCGTGGCAAAAAAATGTGTTAGGAAAACTATGTCTCAATTTTAAACCATATATAAACTTTCATATAAACTAAGTTAAGAAAGAGGTGAGTGAGATTATTAGATTATCTTACACAAATTAATTCCAAAGATTTCATTAAATTATAATAGCATTTCGATTTAAGATTCTTTCTCTATAAAATTTCTTTACACTGGATAAAAATTTCCACATATTATTAAAATGGAGTGAAGTTAAGGATACGTGTTGTTTCATCATTTATTATAATATTAGAAAGACTAACTAAAACGAAAACTATTAGAACTAATATGCTTTTAACCTTATCACAATCTTATATCCACTTCTTTTTAAACTTTTTTCAAGGAGGCACCATCCAATCCATCCGTGGCAAAAAAATATGTTAGGAAAACTATGTCTCAATTTTAAACCATATATAAACTTTCATATAAACTAAGTTAAGAAAGAGGTGAGTGAGATTATTAGATTATCTTACACAAATTAATTCCAAAGATTTCATTAAATTATAATAGCATTTCGATTTAAGATTCTTTCTCTATAAAATTTCTTTACACTGGATAAAAATTTCCACATATTATTAAAATGGAGTAAAGTTAAGGATACGTGTTGTTTCATCATTTATTATAATATTAGAAAGACTAACTAAAACGAAAACTATTAGAACTATTATGCTTTTAACCTTATCAAAATCTTATATCCACTTCTTTTTAAACTTTTTTCAAGGAGGCACCATCCAATCCATCCGTGGCAAAAAAATATGTTAGGAAAACTATGTCTCAATTTTAAACCATATATAAACTTTCATATAAACTAAGTTAAGAAAGAGGTGAGTGAGATTATTAGATTATCTTACACAAATTAATTCCAAAGATTTCATTAAATTATAATAGCATTTCGATTTAAGATTCTTTCTCTATAAAATTTCTTTACACTGGATAAAAATTTCCACATATTAAAATGGAGTGAAGTTAAGGATACGTGTTGTTTCATTATACACTACTATAGATAATGATTCCTTCGACTTCGTAAATTTTTATAATACACATTTCATTTATAAAAATCTTACTATATATCCTTATCTTATGCAAGTTGCTTTGGTTAACAGTACTATATTAATGTATAATATTAATTATTTAATAAAAGACCAGGTAGGTGAAAATTCAATTAATTATTATTTATTATATATCTTTAATTCAATGAAATCGTAGACTTTTTTTGAAGAGAGTTTCTCTTTTGGTTATCAACGGATATAATGAATGATTGACTGGTGGAAGGAAGCACATACAATATTTAAAAGCAATTACAATGAAAGCATATACCTATATACATGTATATATACATGTGTGAAAATTTATAGTACAAATCTATAATGAAAGTGAGTAGTACATATATGGTATATCGAAATCTTCATATTATGCATATGATTTCTTTTGTATTCCCTAGAAATAACCCCAAAAGAATTACTTTAATTAAAACTCTCAAGTGGATCAAAGTAAATCTGTTGAAATCAATTAAGCATATCACTTAAGATATGTGTAAGAAAATATTAATATATCTGATTTGATGAAAAATTATATTATAACTTATGAATTTCAGATACCTGATGATTTTACAGGATTTATTTAAGCGATCTTTTATGGGATCATTACTTAATTTGTGTTAATTAACTAATTAATATTAGTTTCATTTGATCATGATAAAAACTTTCTGAAAAATAAATTTAAAATAGATATACGTATATTTGTCAATTGTTTTACTTTGATTTTTATAATATGGTGGTTATCCCGTATAGATTTGCATTTTTAGGTCCTGATATTGCTAATTTGAGAAGACACTTGTTTTGGATTCTGCGACACCAAAAATTGTATGCTTTTCTGATACCATGATATTTACTATATTATAGTTGTCTACTGTTTTTATAAATATTTGATTAGAAAAAAAATTTCTTGGCTTTAAAATTCAATCCATCCGATGAAGAATAATGTAGGAGATGCAATTTCAAACTCACCAGTGATGAAATAATGAGTATACTAGTATTAATTCAGTTACGATTAACTCTAACCACAACAAAGCAATATTATTGTCTATTAACAAACTAGTCAATTTACCAGTTCCAGAACTCTAAAATCGAACACGTATAAAGTAGGTTACGAAGAACCTAGTATTATAGACTGTCAAACTAGTAAAAAATTTACATTGATTTTAATGTAATAGCAATACTACACGATTAAGTGATTACGAGTATGAAGTTTAAAATAAAGCTTTATAATCTTTACATATATTGCGTGAAAAGGGCACATTAACTACTGACGACATTGATGTGGAATGTAGAACAATATGAAGTCAAGAACTCTCTAGATATCTGAAGAAAAACTAAAATCAGATTGAGGTTTTAAAATATGTTAATCACAACAAGAAGAAGGTTTATTTAAGGATAAATAATAAATCATTTAGATCGAAAAGAATAATTATATAGTAATCAAAGTAGACATAAATTTAAAGAAACTGACTAGTAAAATTAAAAAATAAAAATTTTTGTTTTTTCTAAAAATTCTAGCGTTAACTTCAAAATTTCTTGTTGTATCAATCTTGGTCGTATTGGACACTAGGACACTTGGACATTAAAATGTAGCATCCAAATAATTATAACAATTAAGTTTGTTATATATATTATATTTCTGTTGATTTGAACACATCTCACATCATCACAAATTTTAAAAATAAGGTGAGTAGGAAATTATTTCAGAGTTGCGTGGTTAGTTGCGTACTCAATACGAGTACAACGGTTTAAATATATATATCAGATTTTTTATTATCAAAATCTATATCCACTTCTTTTTAAACTTTTTTCAAGGAGGCACCATTCTATCCATCCGTGCCAAAAGAATAGGAAAACTATACCTCAATTTTAAACCATATATAAACTTTCATATAAACTAAGTTAAGAAAGAGGTGAGTGAGATTATTAGATTATCTTACACAAATTAATTCCAAAGATTTCATTAAATTATAATAGCATTTCGATTTAAGATTCTTTCTCTATAAAATTTCTTTACACTGGATAAAAATTTCCACATATTATTAAAATGGAGTGAAGTTAAGGATACGTGTTGTTTCATCATTTATTATAATATTAGAAAGATTAACTAAAACGAAAACTATTAGAACTATTATGCTTTTAACCTTATCAAAATCTTATATCCACTTCTTTTTAAACTTTTTTCAAGGAGGCACCATCCAATCCATCCGTGGCAAAAAAATATGTTAGGAAAACTATGTCTCAATTTTAAACCATATATAAACTTTCATATAAACTAAGTTAAGAAAGAGGTGAGTGAGATTATTAGATTATCTTACACAAATTAATTCCAAAGATTTCATTAAATTATAATAGCATTTCGATTTAAGATTCTTTCTCTATAAAATTTCTTTACACTGGATAAAAATTTCCACATATTAAAATGGAGTGAAGTTAAGGATACGTGTTGTTTCATTATACACTACTATAGATAATGATTCCTTCGACTTCGTAAATTTTTATAATACACATTTCATTTATAAAAATCTTACTATATATCCTTATCTTATGCAAGTTGCTTTGGTTAACAGTACTATATTAATGTATAATATTAATTATTTAATAAAAGACCAGGTAGGTGAAAATTCAATTAATTATTATTTATTATATATCTTTAATTCAATGAAATCGTAGACTTTTTTTGAAGAGAGTTTCTCTTTTGGTTATCAACGGATATAATGAATGATTGACTGGTGGAAGGAAGCACATACAATATTTAAAAGCAATTACAATGAAAGCATATACCTATATACATGTATATATACATGTGTGAAAATTTATAGTACAAATCTATAATGAAAGTGAGTAGTACATATATGGTATATCGAAATCTTCATATTATGCATATGATTTCTTTTGTATTCCCTAGAAATAACCCCAAAAGAATTACTTTAATTAAAACTCTCAAGTGGATCAAAGTAAATCTGTTGAAATCAATTAAGCATATCACTTAAGATATGTGTAAGAAAATATTAATATATCTGATTTGATGAAAAATTATATTATAACTTATGAATTTCAGATACCTGATGATTTTACAGGATTTATTTAAGCGATCTTTTATGGGATCATTACTTAATTTGTGTTAATTAACTAATTAATATTAGTTTCATTTGATCATGATAAAAACTTTCTGAAAAATAAATTTAAAATAGATATACGTATATTTGTCAATTGTTTTACTTTGATTTTTATAATATGGTGGTTATCCCGTATAGATTTGCATTTTTAGGTCCTGATATTGCTAATTTGAGAAGACACTTGTTTTGGATTCTGCGACACCAAAAATTGTATGCTTTTCTGATACCATGATATTTACTATATTATAGTTGTCTACTGTTTTTATAAATATTTGATTAGAAAAAAAATTTATTGGCCTTAAAATTCAATCCATCCGATGAAGAATAATGTAGGAGATGCAATTTCAAACTCACCAGTGATGAAATAATGAGTATACTAGTATTAATTCAGTTACGATTAACTCTAACCACAA